TTGTTGAAGTCGAAACAATTCAGGCTTTGCTTTGCTAAAGTGCCAATTGATGCTGACTTCCTCAACTAGGTACGTACTATGACTATTGGAGATTTTGTAGCCCTCGATATCATGCAACATGTCAATAATGACAAGTTCAAGGTGGAAAGAGACCTTTTATACTTTGAGGAGTGGTTGTATATTCCAAAGGGACGAGCACGACTTCAAGTTCTCCAATCTCGACATGACTTTTCAACTGTGGGACATTTTAGATTCAATAAGATCTTGGAACTTATTTCTTAGGGTTTTTTTGGTGGCCCCAAATGTAGAAGGATGTCAAGGATTTTGTCCTCTCCTGTGACATTTGTTCAAGATCTAAGAACCCTCGGCATCATCTTTATGGTCTTCTTCAGCCATTGCCTCTTCCATGTTGGCCATGGTCTTCAATTTCCATGGAATTCATTACGGACCTGCTGCCATCAAATTCATTTGATAGCATCTTTGTTGTGGTAGATTAGCTTACAAAGATGGCACACTTTGTCCCTTGCAAGAAAACATCGTTAAGCAAAGACACAGGAAGGCTCTTCCTTGATAGTGTATATCGATATCATGGTTTATCAGATGATATGATGTCGGATCAAGGAACCCAATTCGTATCAAAGTTCTGGAGATCTCTCTTTGAAATATTGAAGGTAGATATCAAGCTTTCTTCGGCTTTCCATCCTTAAACTGACGGCCAAATGGAATGGATGAATCAAACTTTGGAGCGGTATTTACGATGCAACATCAATTATCAGTAAGATGATTGGACTACATATCTATCGTTAGCCGAGTTTGCATATAACAACACCCTTCATGTGTCGACTGAATAAATATCATTCTTTTTGAACTATGAGTATCATTTGAAGCTTGATTTTTTGAGTCCATCAACTAATAACAATCCGGTAGCTAAAGGATTTGTGAGACAACTATCGGAGCTTCAAACTATGTTGAAGCTTCAATTGTAAACTGCTCAAGAAGCTTATAAGGCATCCGTAAATAAATTTTAAAATCATGCACCTACTTTCAAAATTGGAGATAAAGTATGGCTGCTTGGACAGAATATCAAAACCAAGCATCCATGTGACAAGTTGGACTAGTAGAGGTTGGGACCATTTGTCATCCAGAAGCAAATCAATCTAGTGGCGTACTGTCTGGGATTATCAGCTGTTATGAAAATACACCCAGACTTTCATGTTTCTTTGTTGGAGCCTTATTGAGAATCATCTTTTCCTGGAAGAGTGCAATGTTCTCCACCTAGTATTGAAATTGAGAACCACAAGGAATACGAGGTAGAAAAGGTATTAGATTTGTGGCATAAGTAAGAGAAATTGGAATACCCAGTACATTGGAGTGACTATGATATCAATGAGCGCACATGGAAACCAACAAAAAATCTTATCAATGCGTCGCAAAAAGTACAGGAGTTTTATCAACGCTATCTTCAAAAACCTAAGCCCTTTCAATGAAAGTTTTTCAGTGAAGTTCCTTCTCCTTGAAGTCTCTTAATCCTTGGCCTTACAAAAAAGAGGGAGAAGGAACCTCTAAAAGACATAGTTAGAGACTATAAATCTGTAACCTGAGCCCATTCTTCCATGTTTAGTGCTTGTTTTTTTCGGTCTGATATGGATAGCTAAGAGATAGATACTATACCAGTCATGTCTTCTCAACCAAGTATCTCACAAAGACGATCCCGAGATGAAAAACCGCTTGTACTACAAAGACGACGAAGGATACCTAGTAACAAGTCGCTAGTGATTGTGTTGGAGGTAGAACTTGCCTATGGTGATCTTTTCAAAGGAGTGTTTGTAGGGCATTTTCACAATGAAGACACGAAAGTTCATGCTTGGTTGGAAATCAAAGGCGTAGGACACTATCGTTGGTTACAAGGACCAATGAACTACTTGCCGCACAAACAACAATTGGAGTATATTGTGGACACTATGCGACAAATTTTCAACTTCTTACGTTGGTACTGACTCGCAATAGGAGTGCTTCTCGGAGACCTTGAAGCTAAAAGAAGGGGTGATGTCAAGGACATACACTAGGAAGTTATAGAAGATTCTAAAAGGTTCTAGAGAAGCTTTGTAGTTTGTAGAAGCTACTTGAGAAGCTTCCTAGTTTGTGGAAGCTACTTGAAAAGCTTCCTAGTTTGTAGTATATATAGGAACCGAGATTGAGGGGATCCTCAGTTTCGACAACACATCTCTTGGAGCTCTAGCTCACCTCTCTAGTGTTGTTCTTGTACTCATCTGATTAATCTAGTTCTTGCCGATTCTTCTTGAGCTTCTTATTTAGATTTCCAGTAAGTATTCTAAATTCATGACAACCTCAAGAAGTTACAAAAGAAATATAAAAAATTATAACTTAAATTTAATAAAATATATAATAAAAAAATCTTTAAAAATATCAAAAATAGAAATTTGAATTGAATCTTAATCAAATCCTAATGTAATCTTCAATAAATTCTAATAAAATCATAAACTAATCTCAACCAAATCTTAATAAAAATCTAAATCCTAAATAAATCTTAATCAAATCTTAAATCTTAATTTCAGATCAAATTCCAATAAAATCCTAAATCTTAATTAAATCTTATCAAATACTAAATAAATCCTCATAAAATCCTAAGTAAATCCTAAATCCTAATTCTAGGTCAAACTCTAATTAACTTCTAAACTCTAATCAATCTCAATAAAATTCCAAGTAAATTTTAATCAATTATTATGGCTATTTGAAATCTTAATAAATATTAATTGAGCTATAGATCTTAACTAAAATTTCATCTAGACTTCAATCAATAAGCAATTAATAAGCACACAAAATCTGAAAAGAATTGAACTTATCAATTGCGAGAAAAGCTCCCAAAACCTCTCAATCATTGGCCACCTTTCTTCTTTGACTTGAATGTTAATCTTTCAACACCAATTTTTCTTTGTTGAATCATTCAATCACTTCAAAAATTGGATTATATGTTGATATTCAAGTCTTAATTGGTCTCACTAAATTTTGCTTTAATTCAACAAACAAATATTGTTAGATCTTGGAATGACTCACTGATCCTAAATCTCAAATCTCCAAGACCATAATCCATAAAAACCCTCATATGCTTCAATCGAATTGCTCGATTGATTTCAAATTTTTCATACACAATCACAACAAGTACAATAATGAATTGCCTAATTTTCACCCATCCTAAAATTTGTAAACCTATTTTTATTTTTCAAAATCTAAACCCACTAAGTATATCATTAACTTTGAAAATCTTTCAAAATCTCAATATTAATTCAAATGACATGAAACTAATACTTAAAAATCTCTCTTTAAGTCTACTCTCAAGTCACATTCTTTAATTTACAAAAGAACCTTAGAGTCATTGTAGGTGCTTAGTTTTGTACCTTGAGATATGATTTTGATCCTGGTTGGCAACTAGTCATCTTTGAGTATCAATTCTTGTTTTCTTGAGGTAATTTTTGCTAAAATCAACTCCTAACTCCCTCCTATGTATGTTTATTTTCTTTATTTTCCTAATCTACCTTATTTTGCCTTATTTATGGTTATTTTACCAGGTGATGCATCTAAGTTTTTTTTTCCACAAGAACATGTCAATGTCCAATTCTCTCTGACTCTCTCTCTGTATGGTGTTACAGCTGATAAAAAAAAGTAAAAGAATGCTATAATGCTCTTTGCTACAGAGATTTCACAGGTTTGCAATGATAGTTACTAACAAAATTTCTTTCGAATGTCCTGAAATTATTGAACAATGAGCAATGCCATTCTGAATTTAGTTGTCTTCAACCTCCGACTATCACTGAAACTATTGTTGAAAAGTTGTAGTGATATATTTAAAGAAGGAGAAGATAAAATTAGGGGGGGTACATGTGTTCCATATTCCATCCACAATGACGAAGAAGAAAGTGGAATTCTGTTGGCAGTTAGTCAGTTCAGGCACATAGATGTTGTTCTGCTGAAGAAGACATTCTCGTAACAAACACATTCTGATTGGCATTAACTTACAGGAGGGAGGGAGGGTGGGAGGGGGGGGGAGATACTCGGCCTTCCTTAAATAGGGGGTAGTGCTATCATCGAAGCTGGACTGCTGCTGCGGCACTGCTTCCTTCAAAACCAACGGTTCCATATTTATGGTGGGGTTGGGGGGTTTTCGTCCAGACAAATGCCAAGCTTGGTTGGTTGGTTTCGTCGAAGAAGAAGTTGAGGAGGAGGATGGTGCCCCATCCCGTTGGCACGGGGGGGGGGGGGGGGGGGGGGGGCCCCCCCCCCAAAAAGGGGCCGAAACCCCGCCCCAAGGGAAAAAAAAGGGGGCAAAAGGAAAAAGGGGGGGGAACCCCCCCCCCCCCCCCCCGAAAAAAACCAACCCCCAGGGGAACCAAAACCGAAAAAGGGGAATTTTTGGGGAAAAAAAAACCCCAACCCAAAAATTTTTTTCCCCTTTTTTTAAAAAAAGGGGGGGGGGGAAAAAGGGGGCCCCCCCTGCCCCGGGAAAAGGGGATCCCCCGGGGGCCCCCCCCCCCCCCCCCCAAATTTCCCCCCCTTGGGAAAAAATCTTCCAAAACCTGGGGGCCCTTTTAATTTTCCGCGGGGGGGTTTTTTCCCCCCCCCCCCCCTTTTTGAAAAAAAAAAAAAAAAAAAAACCCCCCTTCCCCCCTTTTTTTCTTAGGGGGGGGGGGGGGGGGGGGGGGAAATGCCAAAACCCCCACCCAAAAACCCCCCCTATTTCTCCAAGGGTTTGCCCCCCCCCCCCCAATTTAAAAATTATTTTAACCTATAATACCCCCCCCCCCCCCACCTTTTCTTCCGCCCCCTGTAGTCCCCCTCTTTCTAACCCCCTTTTTTTTTCCCCCCCAAAAACCCCCCA